GTCAACATTAAAACTACCTTTTTCGATGGATTTTTTAGGTGCATATGTAGTTCCACATTATAAGGTTGCACCTTTATATAAACTTTTTCCCTTTTTAAAAGGATGAAGATGTTATTAGGCCTAGGCTTTATGAAAATAAAATAATCCAAAAAGCACTTTCGGCATCCAAAATCTTTATGATTGCTCTAAAATTAATTTCCAATACCGACAATAAATTTTGAAACTCCAAAAAATAGTTTAAGATCTTGCGGATATGTGAACACTTATTTTTAGGACAAAATCGATGGTTTGGATGATTTGTTGCAATATATACTAATTTTAGAATTTAAAATCTTAATTTTTTTGCACAACCATAATGTTCAAGCTGAGATGATCAATTTAAAACTTAGTCAACACTTGAATTGCAATTTTTTATGAGTTGTGAGGTGAGGCTTTACTTATTTTGATAGGGTTGTAGCCCTATCAAACTATTTGTCCCTTTTATAAAGATATTAAAATAATCATAGTTTTTTAAATTAATATAAATATTTTTTGGAAAGTCTCTGGTACATATCACGTGGATGGTGGAAGGGTGTACAAAACACACCCGACTAAACATTGCTACATCCAATGGCCACAAAAGAGTTTTGTAGTTTATTTTGAAATTTTTATTTAAAAATAATAGTTATCTAGAATTTAGTTATAGATATATTTTTATGGGAAAAGTTTATATAGAGCCGAGGCTTTAAACCATCAAATTGGAGTCTACCTCAAAAATTTCACTAGTTTTGATGCCCAAATATCCTCAAATTGATCATCTCGACATCAAGATGCATGGACATGAGAAACAAATACAGTTCAAGTTTTGGAAATAGTGTATTTTATAACATATTTTTAGACCAACAATTTTCAAGATTTTAAAGTTTTCATACACCTGTCGATCTAGACTATTTTTGAAGCTTTAAACTTTATAAATAAAGGTGAAAATATATTTTAAGGCTATCACAAATATTTTCAATATTAAAACCATATTTCTGAACATTATTTGAAGGCAGGCTCTAATTTGATTGTTTAGAGCCTAGGCAGTATACAAACCACATCCTATTTTTATATGGTGAATCAAATCAATATTATAAAAATATTTTGAGCAAAATAGTTGACCAAAAATACCCTTTAATCATTTCAAGGGTATTTTAGTTGACTTTTTTTGTATAAAATAGTTTTTATTATTTTAATTTTATGTGCTGTGTAAAATTCACCTATACTCAAATTTTTAAATAAATATTATTTTTTAATAAAAATAAAATAAAATATAGAAATTTTGCTGGCCATTGGATGATAGTAGGTTTAATTTGAAGCATTCAGGTGTCCATATCATGTGGGCACAATATCATCCCATATATTTTTTTATTTTTCAAAATAAAATTAAAAATTCTTCTTCTCCATATTCATAGTTTTAATGCCTTCATTTTCAAACTTTAACATTCTTTCTTGTCATTCATTCAGATATTTCCTTCACTGTTCACATCGTTCATAGTTTATTGAAATCTTTGTGTATTCCCAAAAATAAAAAGTTCAAGGTTAAAGTAAGGTGCATCTCAAAAATCCTCTTTAGAAGAGTGTGTTTCAATGTTGAAGTAAGGGTTTTTTTTGCAACATAACAACCTCTTTTGAGGTTTGATCCACCCCACCAATTTAATTTTTTAAATACTAATCTAGTATAAACCTATATTTCCTGATTAAGCTAACCTAAGGTATGACTTCGGGGAAATTTAATTACATATCACCTCCCTTATTTAAACTTTTTTAATAATACCCTTATTTAATTATACATGTCTATTTGAACCATATGATATAAATAGATGTAGTTTCAGTCATAATGTCACAAGTTTTCCTCTATCTGTAAGATCTTATTAGACAAATTTGAGTAATGTGTTTTTATTACTTTTTATAGACCACCTTTACACTAATTTTGGAACGTGCCATAGGTGCACTGTAAAAAGTGCTGAGAAATTACTTATGATAAAATAAAGTGATTAAAATACCCTTAAAAGTCATACTTATTATTAATATTGTAAGTTAAAATCCTGCAAAGTGCATATTTTTTGGATACTATGTTAGGGATTGTACACAAAAGGACCATTTATCTTTGTTACAAATAGGTCACAATTACTTGTGGCCATTATATGTCACATTTGATAGCTTGGAGTGCATCACGAAATTTGAGATTTTTTTTAAAAAAATTTGAGTCTAATAATAATACTTTTATAACCACCCAATTTAAAATTTAACAGACAATAGTGATTGTGACTTCTTTATATCAAAAGTTAATATTTGTATACTTATTTAATATATTAAAGTATAAATAACATATGTTATATATTCAGGTGCATTTTATATAATATTGCAAGCTTACTTTGTATAGATATAGCTGTAGTGCTCTATACCATCTATTTTAGTTAGGTTATACGTATTTTATGATCATATAAAAAAATAACACTTATTTTAAGAGAGCATTAAGTATACACCATTCAAACGAAATAGACGATGTGGGATTATCGTAATCTTATTTCTACAAGTAAAGTTGTTACTTTAATTAAATTTTGTTCCTATTTGTTTTATGATTGTAAATTATATAATATTGCAACTTTACTTGTAGAAGTAAAATTGTGATGTTCTGTACCATTCATTTTAATTGAACTACATAGATTTGACATATTTTTTATAACAATACCAAAAAATGACATGTATTTTAAGATAGTATCTTACCTACACCATCCAAGCGGCATGTCTTAGGACAATGTCATATCCAACTAACAAGTCCTTTAAAACAATACAAAAAAGTGACATGTCTTTTAAGATAGAAGAACGTCGGTCAAACAAGGATGGACGGAATCAAACCGTAACTTTTCAATAACAACCCCATACATTTTAACTATTTAAAAATTTTCATCTATTTGATATAATATGGTATAGGAAAAGCATATAATAGATAAAATACATAACATGATCGTTTATCTTTGGTATAAGGTGGTCACAGTTAATCTTGACCATTGGATGTGAAATTGGGTGGATGCATTTATTTCATTGACCAAGCTTAAAGTTCAAAACAAATTTTATTGAACTTCGTAACACATCCAAACAATCAGATTTCACATCGAATAGTTATAAGTAATGGTGTCCTCCTTGTACCAAGGGTAGATAATCTCAATGTATACAATCCCTATAGTATATGCAAATATTTTATCTAATATTTTTTTAGAATATCAAATCCATGATTGGTCGATCTGGAATTAGTCAATAGTAGGCGGGTGATGTAGCCCACTGGTCCATGTGGTACCCTAATTAACTCAAGGTATAAATAAGGGGGAATACTACTATATATATCACTCCTTTATATAAATTATACATGTCTCCCATCTCTAGGGTATCCGATCTAAATAGACGGTTGGGATATTTTCAATCACAATAGCACATCTTATTCTTTAATTGTTTGATCTCATTTGGACGACTATGAATAGTCTATTTTTAATTAATAGTTATAAATAGTATTGACATAAAATTTGTGACATGCTTCTGTTATTACAAGTGCACCCAAAAATATACATTAGTATCTCCAATAAAATAAAGCGACTAAAGTACTCCTTAAAGTTATAGAGGTATAATATTTTATATTTTATTTTATTAAAAATATTTTCGTATATTCTTTTTAAGTTCACCAATAAGAGTAAGGCATGTCCCAAATTTTGTCTATTGTTAAGATAATCTATTAAAGCTATAAACATAGAAAAATTAGGCTACCAGACATAGCTAATTGGCAGTCAGATCAGACGACTGCAAGAGGGGACATGTACATGGTTGATCATGGGTAGAGGCCCATCGAAAATTGCCCTTATTTGTAGGAGTTTTTAGGCCCTCTATTTTTTGAAGGGATACATTTGAGAATCATAAAATGATTTTTTATTTTTATTTGAAAATATTCATCTACTAATGTTTATGTAGTTCTAAAAATTTTAGATAAAAAAACAATTCTGTCTAGTTGTTTTGGGTGAGGGAGTAGATACACAATATGTTCCCACAATAACCTAATGGACCTTTTTCCTATGCGGCCAAGCCTGCATACATAGAAATAAGGGCTTCTTAATAAATATATTTTTGAGATGGATTTTAAGATTTAATTTTTAGGACATGTAATCTCTAACATAGAGATCATGAATATGAAAAAATAAATAAAATTTTAAAACTAAAAATAATAATTCTAGTAAAAAAACATTTGGATCGTTAGTTTCCCTTGTTTTCAGATGAAACACCAACTTGAATCCATTTTTACGATTGATGCTTTACACTTTATGGACTGCATATATAGAAATGTGATCCAACCCGTATAAAACCATTTTCCTAACATAATATAAATTCTTAAAGGAAAAGTTTATATAAGGTTACAACTTTAAAATGTAGAATTACATATGCACCTCAAAAATCTATCAGAAAAAGTTGTTTTAATGTTGAAAAACCCTATCTCGATATCGAGATGAATGAATACAAAAAACAAGACTTAGAGTCTCAAAAATAATACATCTTGCAACACATTATCTAGACCGTCCATTTTTAAGATTTTTGTATATTTATAGATCTACTTGATTTTAACCATATATTGAGTTTACAATTTTATAATTAGACATAATAATAAATTTTTAAATAATCTTAAAAATATTTTACACCAATAAAATTTAAAAAAACGCCTTAATTAAATTATTTAAGGTTGCAACCTTTTAGAAACCACACCCATTCCTAAATCCAAAATCTATAACACTAAAAAAGGATCCCGGAAGGGATAACTCATACAAATCTATGTGTCCGTAGAATCTGTCCTAATTAATTGCCCTTTTTCGTTTTTTGAAGTTTATACCCTTTTCTTTTTTGTTTTTCCTTTTAAGCGGGACTAGCTTCTTCTTCCCTGTAAACCCTACCAAAACCCATGCTCTGCTCTTCCACTATAAGAAGCCTTTTAAATCACAAACCCTAGAATTTTCCTTCTTCTCCTTAACCAGAGGCCATGATAATGTGCTGTTATTTCATTGTGTTCAAAACCCTAGAAATTGCAATGCACTTGAACTGGGGAAAAAAGCAAAAAGATCAGTCTTTTCTAGTTGGATCTTTTTGAAAATGAATCCGAGTAGTCCTGGACGCTTAACTAGCCGTTTCTCCTCTCCTAATTTTTTTAAAGCTTCGTCCTTTGTAGGGCCTGAAAGTGAGTAATGGACGTATTCTTGTGCTGGTCCTGAAAGTGAGTAAAACCATGGTTTTTCGCCGCCTGGTTTTGGTGAGATACAATTTTGTGGTTAGTAATTATTTTCTGAACCTTAATCCTTATTCTTTTGCATTCGTGGGTTTTGTTCCTAAACCCAGAATAGTTACAGCATATACTGGAACTCAGAGATTGATAGAGTTTAGCTCTTATTCTTTGAAAACCAATTCTAACCCGTTGAATTTATCAACTGATATAGACAAAGAGTTATTGATCAAAATAATTGAAGAAGAGCATTGGGATGACCCAAGAATCAAGGTTCTATTAGGTTCAGTTTTAGCACCAATTCATTTAAGTCATTTTTTAGTAAAATTAAGAGATGAGGCACCATTAGCACTCAAACTTTTCAACTGGTTCAGCAATCAAACTGGGTTTCAGCATACTATTGAATCTCGCTGTATAATTGTTCACATATTATTTAAGGCTAGAATGTACCGCAATGCCCATGAGAATATCAGGACTATGCTCACTCTGAACCCTATCCAACTATCAGATATTGATGTCTTTGATATATTAAGATCAACCCAAAGAATGATTGGTACAAACCCAATGGTTTTTGATGCTTTTTTTGGAGTTCTAATAGAAGAAGGCTTACTGGAAGAGGCAACTGACTGCTATTATAGGATGCGGAAGTTCAGGATTTATCCCAAGGCTCGATCGTGCAGTAATCTTCTCTATAAGCTTTCAAAATCATCTAGAGGTGATATGTCGAGAAAGATATTTGTGGATATGATTGCTGCTCGAATAACTCCCACCGTTTTTACTTATAACATAGTTATTGATGTTATGTGCAAAGAGGGGGATTTAAGGACTGCAAGAGCCATGTTATTGCAGATGAAAGAAATGGGTTGTTCCCCTGATATTGTCACTTACAACACCTTAATTAATGGCTATGGGAAATTGGGTCAATTGGTAGAAGCGACCCATGCTTTTAGTGAGTTGAAGGAGGTGGGCATTAAGCCGGATGCAATAACTTACAATGCCCTTATAGACTGTCATTGCAAATATAATGAGTTGTGCAAAGCTTTTGGTTTTTTTGGTGAGATGAGGAGGAATGGGGTGAAACCCAATGTGGTTACTTTTAGCACCTTAATTGATGCTTTGTGCAAGGAAGGGATGATGAGAGAAGCGATTAAGTTCTTTGTGGATATGAGAGTATTTGGACTTCTTCCTAATGAATTTACTTATACTTGTTTGATCGATGGGTATTGTAAAGCAGGTAATCTGTTTGAAGCCCTAAAATTGGTTGATGAAATGGTTCTAGTCGGGCTTAATCTGAACGTGGTGACATATGCTGCCTTAGTCGATAGGCTATGTAAGGAGGGAAAGGTACTAGAAGCCGAAGAAGTTTTTAGGGCAATGCTCAAGTCCAATGTGGCTCCTAATTGTCTAATTTATACTTCCCTCATTTATGGGCATTTCAAGAATAAGAATATGGAGTTGGCTATGAAACTTTTCAATGAAATGAGAGGAAAAGGCATGAAGCCTGATGTGTCATCCTATGGAACAGTTATATGGGGGCTCTCTGAACATGGGGAGCTAGAAGAAGCTATGATTACTTTGGGATCAATGGAAGAGATCAATCTGAAGCCTAATGAAGTAATTTATACCTCTCTTATGGATGCATTTTTTAAGGCTAAAAAGGCCCAAGAGGCTTTGAAACTTCTACACAAGATGTTAGATTTGGGCATCGTTCCATCCATTGTAACTTATGGTGCATTGATTGATGGGTTGTGCAAGGAAGGTTCAATTAGGGAAGCAACGTACCATTTTGAGAGGATGAAAGATTTGGGTTTGGTGCCAAACGCCCTTGCATACACTGCTCTCATCGATGGGCTTTGCAAAAGTAACTGCTTGGAAGAAGCTGAAAAGCTATTTCAGGAAATGATGGAGAAAGGTGTAGCTCCTGATAAAGTGGCTTATACTTCTCTGGTGCATGGCAATGTGAAGCACGGAAATCTTCAGGGGGCTTTTAGCCTTCGTGATAGAATGATTGAAAATGGTATTGAGGTGGATCTTCATACATACACATCCTTGATATGGGGACTCTGTGAAGAGGATCTAATGGAAGAAGCAAAGGGTTTGCTGGGTGAGATGATTGGCAAGGGTGTTAGTCCAGATATATTCGTTTATAATTGCCTGATAAACAAATATTGCAAACTAGGGAATATGGTGGAAGTCTATGAGTTGCAGGGTGAAATGAGGAGGAGGGGATTGGTTCCTAGTAATGGTGGTTCTACTATGCCTGATGAAGGGATGGGGTAATGTCTACTTCATGATCTGTGTTGAGGTGCCTACTCAATCGAACTTAATCTCGCGTCTTGCTTATTTTATTTTATTTTCTCTTTTATAGCAATCTCTCTCTCTCTCTCTCTCTCTTTCTCTCCCTCTCTCTTTCTCTCCCTCTCTCTTTCTATCTGTCTCTTTCCCCCCTCTCCTTTTGTTTTGTGTTTCTTAAACTTTCTATAACTAGTGCTTTGAGACAAAAAATGGGACTGGGTGTTTCCTTGGCATACTCTTGATTTTACATTAAATAATTATTATTTGCAGGTTTTGGTTAATACGCACGTGAGTGGTATGTTGGCATTTTTGTGTTGAGCAAATTCGGTTCAGCTTTGAGGGACAAAATCTACCCTTGTTCAACTGGCACATACATTCATGGGATGATAGCCTCTTCTCAGGTACTTCCCTGATTTTCCTATAGATGAACTTGTTTTAACTTGCTTCACTGATCCTGAAATTCTATCCACTGTGTTTGGATTAGATTTGAATCATTAACTGTATCTCAACATTATCATCATCATCATCATCTGCATCTGAGCCTTATCCCAACAATTTTGGGTTGGCTATATGAATCAACTGTATCTCAACATCCTTGTTTTAAAAAGTTGACTATTTTTTTATTTTTAACTATGGAAAAGGACATATTTCTTTTCAATATAAAAACTAAGCTTCTATTTTGTAGCCAGGCATGGTTGAAGGCCTTCATCACAACCATCGTCAAGGATACAAATTCTGAAAAGAAATTGCATTCTTCATTGGAAGCTTTTGGCTGCTTTCACTAGTTCTATTATGTGTTAACAGAAATGCAATTGTGATGATGATTATTTCTCTCACAAACTTGCATTCTCGCCATGGTTGCATATGTTTTGTACAGGTTATGTGTAGCTTAAGGTGTGCTTTTCAGTTTATATAATCACGTTGCGTGTTTCTTGTTTGGAAAGTATTCCACAATTCATTGGAGTAGCATGTAGTACTGTCTGCACTCCATAGGGACATCACCATTTTTCCCCAATGACAGATGGTTGAGATTAACTGTACATCGTGCATGTTCCATTAGGTGTAAAAAATGGTTAACTCCATTGTTTGTCTCAGGAATGAATGGAGGACGCGCCTTTGGAGTTTGTTGTAGCTTTTCACCTTGGCATGTGTGTTATATCAAATTTGGCTACATAATTTTCAAGCCGACGTTTAGCATTGTAAACTTTTTGGATAATTGTAAAAAATTTAATATTCAAAATAATATTTCAAACTCTAGAAAGCTGCAGTCGAGGGCCAGAAGTAAAATTTTGCCGCTTCAGATTGAATATTGGATAGACAAAGATTATGTTTTTGAAATTTCAGAACAGAAACATTGGTAATTTTCATGAATTTTATTTTATATTTGGACTTTTTTTTTTCCCTATTTACAGTAAATGTGGACCAAATTTCGGCTAATTTTGGTATGGGATTCATTTCATTTTGTTCTTATACACACTAAGACATGTCATGTTGGTAGTTGGTGTTCATGTTCTACATATGTATTGGGCCTTTTCAAATTCCTGTTTATTCTTGTATCTCTACTCTGGTCAAGCCCATTCTTCTATTGGATCAAAATTTTGTGTTTCCCGACTTTCATGCCTCTAGATGAATGACGGAACAGATTTTCTTATGAGCAGCATTTTTTTTTTTCCTTTTCTGCTTGTATTGTAAAGAATTTCATTAAGTGAGAGAAATAATTGAATATTGCAGTGTGAAGAATTGAATATTGCAGTGTTTTTATTCCTAGCTGTTTAATTTCTGGACATTAGGATAGGTTAAGAGAGAGTGGCTCCCAGTAAACTCGAACAAGAATGCTAGTAGGTCTTTGCTTGGTCTTTTATTGGATAACCTTATGGACCTGAACTTGCCTTCCTAGTTCTTGTGAAAATTAATTGCAAAGAGAGACAATTGAGTCATTCTTAGGGCCCCAATAATTAAAGAGAGGTGTGATTAAGTTGTGATCTTGCTAATTAAAATGGCCAAGTTTTGAAGGAAAGAGTTACAAGAGGAATGTTATGAGTCCGTTTCACTTCGGCGAATCAGCTGAAGTCTTTGGCTTTAGCTCCAAGGGGAAGTGAAGCGAATCGCACCCCTGGTATTTTGAAAAAGTTGCTAGTATTTCAAATATAAATATTTATAATTTGGTAAATCATCTCTAAAATATAGAGATTTTTGGAAAAAATTCATTTTAGTCAAAATTTTTGAAAATCGACTTTATACATAGAAATATTTTAAAGACTTAAGTTTTAAATTTTAAATTTTTATTTTTAAAAAAAATTCTCTCAAAGAATTATTCTGAAGAGCCGAAGCACTTCTCTTTTCCAGCCATAGCGAAGAGCCATCCAAAGCATTGAATATGAAGACAATGTTACTACCCCCTCCCCTCCTCTTCTGTTTCATTCTCATTATTCTTTGGTTGCAGTGAGGAAAAATTGAAATGGCAGTCCACGGAAGATTTAGTTTATAGCGGAACGATGAATACTAAAACAACCAAGTTAATAGTGAAAAATGAAAAGAGAAAAATGAGGGAGGCAGGTTAATATGTCTTCCATCTTGAGGACTGTTGCCTGCTTTTTTAGGCCTAAAAAGTAAATTCTATGAAATGGAGAGAGATGAAAAATCTAAAGCTAATGGGCTAATGAAGTTAGTGTGGTTTGGTTGACTCTGACCCCAAAATCGCTCCTCATCTGGCCCAGGTAATTTAATTAAAGAAAAAAAAACATATATCTGCATTCTAAGACTGGTCTAATTCTTCCCTCACCACTGAACACAGACTGATCATTTCATGAATGATTATTGTCCATCTTGAGGCTTGGAAATAACAAATTAATTGTTCCTGGATGGCATGAAACTGATGAATGGGTCTAGTGGCTGAGTTCTCACAAGAGTCATAGCTAGTCAATTTGAAATATGCCCTATGTCTGCTCTTTACTATTTAGGATACTATTCCTTAGCTGTTTAATCACTGTAACGGACCGTAGCCCGGTGCTGGTCCTGCCTAAGCAGGGCCCCGGAAGGGGTGGCCTGGAAATGGTCCTAACCTTTGGCTAATGCACAAAGTGGCTGCTCTCAGGACTCAAAACCCACACTCTTGCGCTGGCTACCCGAGCCTTTTACCATCACATCAAGTGACGGCACTGTAATGTTATTAATTGCTCGCCATGTTATTAAGTCCAAATTACATAGAATTACAAAATAGATATTTATTTGAGAACATACTTTGTGAATGAGTCGTTCAAGGCTTTGGGTTTTCCCATCCAGTTGATCTTATTTGGACGGAAATTGGAAAATTTTCAATTTGAGCCTGACTAACTTCAGCCCAAGTGAACCATCTCAACTGATCATTCCTCTCTGGAATATGGAATAATGGTCTTTAGTCTGTTGAATGTATTTCTTCTCATTGTCAAAGAGTATTATCAATTTATCATATATGAAACTTTAACTTGGAGGAATTTGGGTATATCCCCTGAAGAATATGGCTTGTGTTAAATGAGTTTCTTACTGATAGTCAGCAATGGGACCACTTATTGACATTTATTGAGCAACCAAGCTAAGGATATCATTAAGGGGACTTCTAGGAAGCTAAAAGTGCAGCCAAGTTTTAGGTCACTTCCATATTTTCTGTCCTGGTTAATTGAGCTACTTTATTGAGACTTAGGATCGCTTTGCTTATAACAATAGAGTATTTGTCCTCTTATTTATTCAGATGTTAGAAGCTAGAATGATTGGAATGTTTAATTGCTTTTGGGCGAGACAGATTTTTATCTACAAGTATTGTAATTGGCCATATGTTTACAGTTTTTTAAATTGCCCCTTATTGTTGGATGGCTTCTTTTCACTTAGGATTATATTTTTATTCCTCTTCGTGCTTCCTCTTTTGACATACAACATATTGTTATCCATATTGACAATTTTGCTGGCGCTTCCTTGTTATTCCTGTTGAACAAATTGCAACTGTCAAGATCTTTGTAGGAGTAATGAACATTATCCGTAGGTATGCTGGACTTTTCAGGTAGCTAATATACTAATTTTGATTAGAAACTGAAACTGATTTTTTTATGATGACAATAAAAAAAGTACTTTGGGTTAGTTGACCATACTTTGGGTATGGTAAATTCCAAGGTTTTCAGTGCTTATTGATACTTCTCGTTGCTATTATTTCCTTACAGTGAATCACATGCTGAATGTGGGGCAAAACTTGTTGGAAAAAGGTGCTCCAGGAGTCCCAGAATAGGTATTGCTTCTTGAGTGCATTGGCATGTCATTTTCTCCCTTGTCTGAATGTTATGTCCATAGACTTTGTTGGTTACTTCATTTCAAAGCAGAAAATAAGTGACTTGCAGTAATTTCTCCAAAAACTTTGCTTTCCTCAAGCAGGTAAAGTAGAGTGGTTCCCTTTTCTCCAAGTGAACCAGCTCAACTGATCATTCCCCTCTGGGAATATGGAATATAGCCTTGTCTCTGTTTAATGAACTTCTTCTCATGGTCAAAGAAATATTATCATGTATGGAACTTTATCCCCTGAAGAATATCATTTATTGTAAATGAGTTTCTTACTAATGGTCCAACTAGAGGACCACAACATATTGATATGTATGGAGATTCCAACCAAGCTAGGGATATCATTAAGGAGAGTAGGGGGAAAAAACATAAACAGCTAAGAGTGCTGCCAAGCTTTAGGTCACTTCCATATTGGTTCGTGTCCTGATTGGTTGAGCTGCTATAATTGGAACTAGGGATTGCTTTGTTGAGAAACATATAATGCATGTTATCTTATTTTATGCATATGGTCAAAACTAGAATCATGGGAATGTTTAATTGTTTTTGGGAGAAACAGGTTTTTGTTTATAAATATGGTTGTAGTCATAGGTCAATAGTTTCTTAAATTACCCCTTATTGCCATCTTTTTCACATTGCCTTCTCTGTTTTTATTCCTCTTTGTGCTCTCTCTTTTGATGTACACCATATTGTTATCTAATTCGACATTCCACAAGCAGTTCCTTGTTATTCCTACTGAGCACATTGCGACTGATCTTTGGACCTAATGGACATTATATTATAGGTATGATGAAACTTTTCGGACAGTTAGTATACTATTTTTTTAGGAAGTCATTTTTTTAAAATGATTATGAGAAAATACTTCAGGTTAGTTGGGCAACTGTATATAGAGGGCACTATGACAAATTCCAAGGTTTTTGGTGTTTTTGAGAGTTTTCATTGCTGTTGTTTCCTTGCTGTGAATCACATGCTGAATGTGGGGCAAAATTTGTTGAAAAAAGATGCACCTGGAGCCCCAGAATATACGTGTTGATTATGCATCAGCATGTTCATATTCTTCGTTCTTCCTTCTCTGAAATTTATGTCCATGGATTTTTGTTGGTTAGTTCATTTTCAAGCCAGACAATAATTGACCGATAGTAACTTGTCTGAGAACCTTGCTTCCTCAAGCAGGTAAATTAGGGTGATTGAAGAATAGTGAAGGCTTTGATGCAATATTTAAAACTGTTTTTCTTTTCATGGATAATAAATTTCCAAAATGACCCTTGTGGTGGTTAGTGGTAATTTTTAATCTAAAACAAACATCTTCCAATAAAGTTTGTATTTAGAAAACCTGGATGACCCATGTGGTTTATAATTGGGCCTTGTTCTTCTCATCCCTGGAACACCTCTAATCGGTTCAACATTTCATTTGTTGCTTCCACAAAATGATGTTCTTGGTGAGTCCTTTAGGTGATGAGTCCAAGTCTCTCGGATCCTAAGATCAGGAGTTAAGAGCTAGTTGAAAGCCATAATTATGTTGAAAGCCAAAATTATTTCCTACTTTTATTTTTTGATAATTATAATAGTGGACTACTGATGGAACAAAAGTTTTTTTTTTTTTTTGAATAAGGAACAGAAGGTTTATCCTTTTCACACTTATTTAGTCTAGACATAATATTAATTTGGACTTTCATTGTTAATATATTCTTCATGCATAAATTAGTAATTTTAAAATTTCATATTCAAGAAAGGATTCCATAAAGATCTATTAATAACGAGAAGGAAGTATGGTTTCCATTGTCCTGGATTGAAGCGTAATTCCCCCAAATAGAATTAAAAGATCTATTCTTGCTTCCACTAAATTTCAGTCCAAAACTTCCACTAAGCATCATTAGATAGGGTTCATCTATGTACTTGGCAAGTAAAAAAGGGGCTCGATCCTTTTAAGCTTTCCTGTTAGACTACAACTTAAATATTTGAAAACTTCAGGAGAAAATAGTCATTGTTCTTTTTGGATACTTGGACTAGAGATTAGGGATTAGGTTCAAAAATGCTAAAATCTCAATGACACACCTTCTGCTGGAGAGAGAGAGAGAGTCTTTTCAAGTATATTTACACGTTCGGTCATCTTCCAGGTTGGGCTCCCATCAACCTCCTATGAACAGTGTTGATCCCCTCCATCTCCATCACCTATCACTTCCCTATATTACAAGTTAGCTCAGCCTCCAATTTGTGAATACCAAAGACAGGACTTGGACCAAAAGGTTTGCTTTTTTTGCACCCCCGACCCCAATGGAACAGGACATTGCAAATGTGGATGACATTCTCATCCGTCTCTTGGAAAATTTGTGCAGGTGGAGAAAAATGAAGTATGTCTTTAGGACCACTGGGGTTCATAGAAGAAAGTTACTGGACAAATTGAAGCCATTAAGCATGGGCCAATGAACTCAACAGGACCTGTACTCGATGAACCATGAATTTCTTGCAAGTAAATGATTTGCTCTGATGGTGGAAGAGAACATGGGGGTGCTACCATTTGGTTTTGTCCAAAAACTTTGGTATCTATCATCACACAGCAACTGATTGTCTTCTTTGCCAGCCATACAGTTGACGAGAAAAGGGCTCAGCCGCTTTAGATAAATGCAAAATGCTGCTTATTTTGGTATTTTGCATTACTAAGGGTGGAAAGTGTGTGACTCCGCCTCTCAAACCACTGACTATTGACCAAGACCACTATCACAGACATTTCACCCCAGAGTTCGTTCTAGAAATGCTCCTGAATGCAAAAACTGTTCCAAGTTCAAAGCCTATCGCAGAACTACCCCAGGAGAAAAGGTTTCAATTTGACTGTCCAAAATCTACTTTCAAAACTCTGGACAAAAATATTGCTCAAGAAATCCATATTCAAAGTCTGAAAATTTGTTATACGCATTCTCATACACTGCTCTTTCATGCTAAGTTTAAATAAATGGTTCAACTACCCCATGAATTGCTGATACGAACCAAACTTGGAAAGATTGATGTTTGGATTATCTAAATAAAAGATACAAAGAAAATGAAATCATACAGGGTTTTGAAGCTATAATTTAGTCCGAACACCTGTATTGAACCTTGGGGTTTCAAATTGTCATGTTGTTGAATACCTTTTGCAGGAAATAATTAGTTAAATCTCTTGACTCCTAGACAGGCTCTCCATCTCAGCATACTTACAAGTTCTAGTTTGGCCACAATGCCCAAGTCCACAGTCTCAACCATTAGGCATCTTACTTCAGTGGAGATGAAATAACGATGCGAAAGGGGATTATTACAATAATGCAAGGCATTGCTGCAAACCAAACTGTTATTCTTGATGAAGCGCAAATGGCCAGATGAAGGAGAAAATTCAGGGGAGATAGTTGAGGCAGGTGTCTGATATGGCATCTAGGGTGCAGCTTGACAGTGTTATCTATTAACTATGATAATTATGACCTGGACAACAAGGTCGATTCTACAATATTTCTATATGACTGAGGACAAGGTCAATTTGAAGGGGGAGGGAATGTTGTGATGTCACCTTATTTCTTTCATTTTCTACTGGTATTTCAATTTAGGAGATTAAGAGGATATAAAGTTATGACCGATTACTTCGGGAGATAGGAAAGATAAGGTTTGGTAGTTTAGAAGGAACTAAACAAAGATTTCCTTTGGGTTGTCATTCGATTAGTTTGCTTTCTATTTCTTTGGCAGAAATTGGATCATAAAAGATACCTTATGAACTCATTTGAGAGGACAATGAAGATCTTATTTTCTAGGCTTTAGGGTTTAACCCATTGGAGGTCTTCTGTCCCCCTTGAAGTGGGCTCGTCTCTCATTTCTTCTACTATTATCGTTTACTTTTAGTTCGAAAACTCCTTATCATATTGCCACGAAAGGACATATATAATAGGGATCAAGCTTAAGGGTGCCTGCAAAATGGTCCATAATTTTCACTTTTCTCCTTTTGGAACTTTTAATCGAACTTTTATTAATAATTTTTCAATTGAATTGTAACTGAACATGTAACTAAGAATTTGCAATTGCCTTAAATTACAAAGTCATAAGTGGTGGAATAAGACATTAACACAACTTTTTAACAAAGAAATCGATTTTTGGGAAATTTTAAGATACATACAAAATATCTCCAACATGAGGAGATCTTCTCTTTACCTTTCTTTGCAAGATATTTTTAATACTGTAGTTTGTGCTCAAATGCGTCGTCAGTTTTGCAAGAAACCTAGAAGTTACGAAGTTATACTAAAAAATATAGATTACTATGGTAAAATATCACTAAAATGCTAGACCACTTGATAAAATTACTAAGAAAATGATTGAGGTGGTCAAATTAACCGATTTAGCATTAGAATGTTCAGCATGTACTTTTTTTTTTTTTCACTCGAGTACCTCAAAAACTTGTTTTGCATAGATTGATCGGGTCCTTAACTTTCAACAAATAGGGGCATTTAAGTAATTTGACTCTTTTGAATGGCCTATCAAATATTCTAAATATCCCTTAATGAATTTGGAACAAATATTTATTTTGGATTCCTAACACATAACAAGCGGGGCTAGAACTATCATTTGCTCCGAGCTATTTAATCTGATCATCAACAACCCTATCATCATCATCTAAACTTCATCCTAATTATTTGGGGTCGGTTACGTAATGTTGTTTTGCCATTTTTCTCTATCAAATGTTGTACCATCAATTAGATCAAAAGCCACTGTATGTTTTTTCACTATACTAATCTGACAATATTAGCCCTTCATGTTGAGGATAGGATCCGGGAACTCACTTTTTTTTAATTGGAAATCCTAATTGCAAGTTCTTAACCTTGAACTCATTGGGGGTATTTATACAATTTTACTCAAACCACTTAGGTAATTTTCATTGGGCTTGACCAGGAATATGGAAAAGTGGATATATCTTTCAACTCAAAGATTGGTGCATGCTGTTGTAGAATTGGGATAATTCAATCACCCGTTTTGAACAAATCGGGATATCTCAAATCCCACCAGATGTGGTGAGCACTATACCACAATGATTTGAATACTCAAATAATATGCTCAAGATGTAATAACAAGTGCAATATAATTGGAAAAAATAAAAAAAAACAATAAAACAAGCAATATAAAAAATCATCAAAGCACAATACAAAATAAAGTAAAGAGGGACACACACATATACGTGGTTCATCCAAGATCGATTATATCTATGGGCAAGATGACAAATGTGTATTCACTACCAAGAGGAAAACTTACAAGATTGGGGCTATGTAGAGTTACCTCATACAATATCAAAGAAAGCTCAAACAAAAGAACTTCTTACCACAAAACCATATACAATCGACTCCTTCCTTCGATTCACTGATGCCGCAAAGAAATACCAATAAAATGGCTCAACTTGAACCCAAATGGTGGCACTAGGGTTTTGTAGCAAAAAAAACTCCAAATTCTCTCTCTCTCTACGTTTTCCCCTTTTGTTTTCTTCTCACACCTTTTTTCACTCAACTCAAATGAGTTATAAAGCCTTATGAGAAAAACTATTTTCATTATAACTAAAATAACCCTCATCATAATGAAAATACCATGGGGTTATGATTTGGCATCACATCCCAACAATCTGCACCTTGATGCAAAATCACACCTTTGCCTTTTTCCAAACCATCACTTATTTCCGTTCTTGGGACCTAGAAAAGTTAGACTCCATTCTAATTTCTCTACTTGGATGGTCTTTGTAAGCATATCCGCAAAGTTGTCTTCGATCTTAATCTTGACCAAACAAACTCTTCTATACTTGCCGGATATAGTGATATTAAACTAATATGTGCCTTGACCTCTTATGGTGAACCAGATTCTTGGCCCAATGGATAACACTCATATTGTCACAAAATAGTTTCATTAGCTTGCACACAATTCCAATCTCACCTATCAATCCTTGAAGCCACACGACTTCTTTCGATGCCTCCGTTGCCGCCTTGTATCTGGCTTCGGTAGTTGACAATGCTACCGTGTCTTGGAGCCTTGACATTCAACTAACCAGTCCATTTGCAAATCGAAAAACAAATGCGGTAGTCGACCTACCTCTATTAAGACCACCAGCAAAATTTGCATCCACAAAACCTTGCATTTACGTTAAGTCCTGGCCAAATGTGATTGCATAACTAGTTGTACCTCTTAAGTACCGAAGCACCCATTTTGGTGTTTCCCAATGAACCTTTCCGGGGTTTGCCATAACCCTTTTCGATCTTGTACATACCATGACAAACATTAAACTTCCAATTGCATTTGTATAAGGAACCTTAGCCATACTTCTTCTTTCTTCTTCCGTCTTTGGACTTTGCATTGAAGACAATTTAAAGTGAGGTGCTAGGGGTGTCTTTACCAACTTTGCATCTTTCATGCCAAAATTTTCAAGTACCTTTTTTATGTTACCCTTTGGAGATAATGACAAAATTCTATTTTGTCTATCTCTTTCAATTTCAATCCCAAGGATTTACCTTGCGGGCCGAAGATCCTTCATCTCAAATCTTTTGCTCAAAGAAGTATTGAGCTCATCAATTTTGCCTTATCTTCGCACACCAAAAGCATGTCATCCATATATAAGACTAAAATCAAGCATGTACTATTATCAAAGAATTGTAAATAGATACAATGGTCATACTTACTTCTTGTGTACCCAAGGCTCATTATGAACATATCAAATGTTCTATATCATTGTCTTAATGCTTGCTTGAGCCCATATAAGGACTTCTTCAATTTGCATACAAGTCATTCTTTGCCCTTCTCTATGAAGCTTTCTGGTTGTTGCAAGTACACCTCATCTTCAAGTTCTCCATGCAAAAAAGGTGTCTTCACATCCATTTGCTCAAGCTCTAAATCATGCATAGCAATTAACCCATGCATCAAGCGAATTGAGACCAACTTGACTACCGGTGTAAAAATTTCATCAAAATCAATGCCTTGTTTTTGCGAAAAATCTTTTGCCATCAATGTTGTCCTATATCTTTCAAGCGTGCTATCGAGTCCCTTCTTTATATTGAGCACCCATTTACAACCAATGACCTTTCTACCTTTTGGTAGCTCTACCAAATCTTGATTCTTTGAAGGGCCAATATCTATTTTTTTATAGCTCTTTTCCAATGCTCAGTACCATTGTTATCCATGACTTCACGAAATGATGTTGGCTCTTCATTTTCGGCTATCAAAGCATGTAAAATATTTGGATCTACATAATCTCTGTGCCAGCCGAATGCACGAGTTTCTTTAGTAGAGGGCCTATTTGCCAAAGGTACAACTTCATCATGATGGCCATGTAGTTCTTTATCTTGACTTCTTAGTTCTTCATGCTCTTCGCTATGATCAATAGGTATATTTTCATGAGGCATAGTTGTACTTAATGGAAGTATTTCAGGGTTGCTTTCAAATTCTTGGTTCTCTTGTTGCACTTCACGACTGGTGATTTTTTTTTAGGTAATTGGATCCCATAACTGGTACCCCTTCACACCCTTGCTATAACCCACAAAGATGTACTTCTTTTATCTTGGATCCAATTTGTTCATTTGGCAACTTGGAATAAGTGCATATGCATTAGAACCAAAAAATTTTAAATCGGAGTAGTCACTGGGATTTTCATACCATATCTCATTAGGAGTTTTGCTTCCCAATGCTATCGAAGGTGATCGGTTGATAAAATAACAAGTTATTGATACGACTTCCATCCATAATTCTTGTTCTAGGCCAGCATTGCTTAACATGCACCTCGCATGCTCCATCAAAGTGCGATTCATCATCTCGGCCACACCATTTTGTTGAGGATTGTAGGCATTTGTGTAATGCTTAGTAATTCCCTCGATGTTGCAAAAATTTTCGAATTCATTTGATACAAGCTCTCCACCGTTATTGGTTCGAAGAACTTTGATGTGATGCCCCGTAGATTTTTCAACTTCTGTTTTAAAATTCTTGAATGCACGAAACACATTACTTTTGGACTTGAGAGTTTTGACCCATACTTTTCTTGAGAATTCATCAACAAATGAAACAAAATATAATGCACCGCCATAAGATGTAGTTGGTGAAGGGCCCTATACATCCGAGTGAATGTAATCAAGTTTGCACTTGCTTCTATGCTTCTCGATCTTGAAAGGTTATCTATGTTGTTTCCCATAGACACAATGTTCACAAAATTCGGATCCATCAATTTTTAAGTGTGGGAATAAAATTCCTCTTCATCAAGACCTCCATACCTTTATCACTCATATACCCCAATCTTCTATCCCATAAGTGAAATGAAACTTCCTCACCTTCGACCACGAAATTCACTTCATCATCTATTAGTGTGCTTTCGAATAACTTGTACAAGCTCTTAACTAGGATTCCTTTCGTCACAATTAGAGCACATTTTGATACTTTGATAACTCCACCTTGACCAATGAACTTATAACCTTTTGAATCTAGATAAGAGAGGGAAATTAAGTTATTTGTTAGTTCTGGCACATGCCTAACATCATTAATTGCCCGAACAGTCTCATCAAATATCTTTAAGCGAATCGAACCCATTCCAACCACCGTGCTAGTGGAATTATTACCCATGGATACCGATCCTCTTTCACATGACTCATATGAGTCAAATTATGATGTATGTCGGAACATATGATGGGTGTCTCCACTATCAATGATCCAATTTTGATAGAATATTGAATTATATGCCACCATCAATACTTTATCTTTAATGAACCCGGATGTAGACTCTTCAACTTAATTTGCTTCATTTTTAGATTCACTTGGCTTTTCACCTCCCGCATTAGAAACTTTGGAAAAATTCATCTCATTTTTTTAAAACAATTCTTCCTTATATGATCGGGCTTCCCACAATGCGAATACACATTCTTGTTATTGGGCCCTCTAGATTTTGATCGAAATCTTGAATGACCTCTTGAATGATTACTCGATGAATCACCCCGTTCATTCGATCAACCTCTTACCACAAGAGCTTCCGTCTTCGATTCAACCGAACTTCCCAAATATACCTTCTTTTGAAGTTCATCGGCAAGTAGGGCACCACACACCGAGCTCAAATCGAGAGAGTCCTCTTTACTACAACTCAATGTAGTAATAAGGTTATTATAGGATTCTGACATTAAACAAAATAAGGTGACTGCCTTATCTTCATCGTCCATTTTCGTACCAATACTTTCAAGTTGACAAATGATGTTATTAAACTCATTCAAGTGTTCTGATATATTTGTACGTTCTTTCATTCTCAAGGAATACAATATTTTTTTAAGAAAATTCGGTTTGTGAGAGATTTTGTTTGATACAAACTTTTCAATTTTTCCCACAAATCTTTTGCTGTTTTTTCGCCAACAATATTAAACAAAACTTCATTCGCTAAACACAATCGAATAGTGACTTGTTCCTTCATATCGGGTTCATCCTAATCATCATCGATCATATTTACCGGTTTCTTATCTTTTACAAGTAATGCTTTGTGTTGGCATTGACGTACCAATAAATCTTGCATTTTTAATTTCAAAATTATCTTTCCCATTAAATTTTTCTACCTCAAACTTGTGAGATGTCATTTTTTCAAAAATACTACACTAATTCCTTTAACATCAATATCATGCAAATTAATTGGACAGTGTAGATTTTATATAATTCTCGAAAGCGGAGGATTGGCATGATTGATTAGAAATAATTGGACGGTGTAGATTATAGCATCTTAATAAGGATAAACACGTAAATAATTTAAATGATCAGGGGCAATTTCGGCCTATTTCACAACACAAATTAGGGGGTTTCCGTAATTTATCTCCCGCGAACATAAAAAGGAGGTAGGATATTTTCGTTATTTAGAATCAGAGTTAGGAGCACTTAGGTCATATCTCCATATAAATTTCCGGACGAAGCGTTTTTGGTGAAAGGAGAGCGATGGAAGGGTGTTTGTTCTGTAAAATTGCCCGATCTTCCACTTCTACCCCTCTCCTCTACTCTGTCGGTCATACGCCTCTCTTTCTCTCTCTAAATTTTGGGAACCCCCTTCTCTCTCTAAAATTTGAAAACCACATATATATATATATAAATATATAAACCCTCTCTCAATCTCTAAATTTTGAAAACCCTGTCACTCTCTCTCTAAATTTTGAAAACCCTGTCACTCTCTCTCTAAATTTTGAAAACCTGTCACTCTCTCTTTAAATTTGAAAACGCCCCCCTCATCCCCCTCTCTCTCTCTGGAGTTCTAATATATGGAATTCTCATTTTACAGGATGATAGGGTCGTTGCTTTTCATGATAACAACCCCTCGGCATTTTGGTAAATCATATATTTTTGGTTTTGAAATCTTGTTTTTAGTCAGAAGAAACGTTTCGCTTGACATTAGGGAATAACCTAATACTTCCGTTGCGTTACTATTCTAGCTCTGAAAACTGCGGATTTATTCAACAGATGCATTGAATTTGATCCAAATCTTTCCTTTGTTGAATGTAGTCAGTATCTAATTTCGTATAGCTAGTAGTTTTTCTTATTGAATTTGAGTTTTTTTCACTTGATTTAAATGGGTTTTTCGATACATATTGATGATTTAGCTAGATTTCTTTGATAAGTATACAAATTGCTTCATGTTAAGAAATTGCAGATGTTGGGTTAACTTGTAAATGACAATCACAGAAGTGTTATTGTGGCTATGATCCTCTCCTTTTACATTATCAAATTTTGGTTTCATATTTCGTTGTTTGAAAGCTCATTTTCCATGAGCAATCTATTGTTTTTTCTTATTACATTGCTTTGTTTTGATTTTCTCTTACCTTTTCGACTTTGTTCTTAGTATAGTCCGTTAATTGAGTTCATCTGTCTTTTAATGATCAGGATTGGGGGAAATGTATTACCTTGATGCTTGGAAATAATAATTTAATTGTTCTTAAATGGCATGAAACTGATCTTTCTCAAGAGTTACAGCTAGTCAATTTGAAATTGGCCTATTTGTACTCTCCACTACTTCTTTCTCAAGAGTTACAGCTAGTCAATTTGAAAGTGGCCTATTTGTACTCTCCACTACTTAGATACCTAGCTGTGTAATGTTATTAATCGCTTGCCATGTTATTAATTGCTAGCGGACGCCAAATAGTTGGGATAAGGCTCAAATGACGATGATGTATTTAAAGTCTGAAGTATACATAATTGTAAAATGATATTTATTAGAGAACATACCTATTAGATTAATTCAAGGGTTTGGGCTTTCCATCCATTGGATCTTTATTTAGGTGGAAAGTGGAAAATTAGAAATTAAAAGGTGACCTGACCAACCCAAGTGAGCCAGTGCAACTGATCATTCCCCTCTAGGATATGGATTAAAGGCCTTATATCTGTTTATTGAATTCTTTCCTCATGATCGAAGAATCTCATCACATATGGAACTTTACTGAGTCTTGGAGGAATATGGTTATATCCCCTGAAGAATATGATTTATTCTAGATGAGTTTTCTTGCTAAAGGTCTTAACAATAGGACCACCACATAATTACCTTTAATGGGATTCCAACCAAGCCAGTGATATCATTGTGAGTTAAGGGGGGAGATCATAAACAGCTAGGACTGCAGCAAAGCTTTAGGTCACTTGCATATCGGTTTATGCCCTGATTAAGTGAGCTGCTTTGAATTGACTAGGGATTTTTTTTTTTTTTGGGTTAATTCAGTGGGGATGGGGTCCCTACCCATGGTAGGAATAAAACTCAAGACCTCATGTTGTAGCAACCTGCCTCCCTAACCACCTAGCCTTCAACCCATTCCTAATTGACTAGGGATTGCTTTGTTTAGAAAAGTAGAATGATAGGAATGTATAATTGCTTTTGGGAGAGAGAGGTTTTTCTTTATAGATATGGTTTTAGCCATAAGTCAACAACTTATGTTGGATGGCTTCTTTTCACTTCTTTCTGAATTTTTATACCCCTTTGTACTACCTCTTTTGATGTAAAACATATTATTATCTAGTTTGACAATTTGGCAGCCACTTCCTTGTTATTCCTGTTGAGCACATTGCAACTGTCAAAGATCTTCGGAGGAGCAATGAACATTCTCTCTTAGGTATGCTGGACTTTCTGGGTAGTAAATATACTAGTTTTGATATGCAACTTGAGCTGATTTTTTTTATGATGACAATATAAGAAATACTTTGGGTTAGTTGAGCAACTGTATATAGAAGATTCTATGGCAAATTCCAAGGCTTTTGGTGTTTGTTGACACTTCTCATTGCTATAATTTCCTGGCAGTGAATCACATGCTGAATGTGGGCCAAAACTTGTTACAAAAAGATGCACCCGAGGCCCCAGAATATAGGTATTGCTTACTTCAATGCATCAGCATGTCATGTTCTCCTTGTCTGAATGTTATGTCCATAGAATTTGTTGGTTTGTTCATTTCAAGGCAGAAAATAAGTGACTTAAGAGTAACTTCTCCAAAAACAGTGCTTCCCTCAAGAAGGTAAACTAGAGCGATTGAAAAATAATGAAGGCTTTAATGCAATACTGAGAACTGTTTTTCTTCTGATATGTAATAAATTTCCAAGGAAAACAAAATTGGACTGACCCATATAGTGGTCAGTGATAATTTCTAATCTTAAAACAATACCCAAATAGTTTTTATTTTTTTGAGAAAACTAGTTGATCTTCATGTAATTGATAATTGGACCTTGCCCTTCACATCCTTGGGAATACCTATAATAGGATTAAGATTTCATTTGTTGCTTCAACAGGATCATGTGCTTGGTGAATATTTTAGGTGATCAGTCCAAGTCTCTTGGATCATAAAGATGGGGAGTAAGACCTAGATAAAAGCCATAATTATGGCCTATTTCTATTTTTTGATAATTATAGCTTTTGCCAAGCATATATGAGGATCTAGCTTTAGTCTAAAATATTAAATTTGAAAATTTCAGTCCGAAACTTCCACTCAGCATTGTAAGATAGGGTGATCTATGGGAGGTGATCCTTTTAAGCTTTTACATTAGTAACAACATAAATATTTGAAAGCTTCATGAGAAAATAGCCATTGTTCGTTTTGGATACTGGGGCTAGAGATTCAGGATTAGGTTAAAAAATGCCAAAATTTCAATGAGACACACTGTGCTGGAGAGAGAGAGAGAGAGAGAGAGTGCGTCCTTTCAAGAACATTTAAATCTTTGGCCTGCTTGCAGGTTTGGCTTCCATCAACCTCCTATGAACAGTGTTGATCACCTCCATCTCCATTGCTTAGCACTTCCATATATTCCAAGGTAGCTCAGCCTTCAGCTTTTAATCTTAGACCAAAAGGTTTCTTTTCCAATGAAACCGGACATTGCAAATCTGGATTACATTCTCACCCATCTTTTGGAAGATTTATGCAGGTGGAGAAAAATTAAGTATGTGTCCTTAGGACCCCTGGGGTTCATAGAAGCAAGGAAGTTGCTGGACAAATTGAAGCCATTAAACATGGGCTAATGAACCCTCTATAACAGCACCTGTACTTCATGAATCATAAATTTTGTGCAGTTAATTGGCTTGCTCTCATTTTGAAAGAGAACATGGGGGTGCTACAATTTGATTTTGTTCAAATACTTTGTTATCTACCATAACATAACTTATATTCAGGCAAATAACTTGGAACAAGTTGCCATTGCTTTCCAATGGACTATATAACATATTCAGGATTTTTTTTTCGATCCGACTCAGGGGGTTTAAACACTAGACATTTCAATTGAAAACCATTAAATTTAGTTTTATGGGCTTCAGCCTGATAGTTTAATGCTTTGTTTGGGATGCATTATGGGCAGCATCTTAATAGAAACAAACTTCAAACAAGATAGTACAGTGTATTGCTCTTTCCTTGTTGGTAGCATTACTTTCACACCTACAGTATCAGAGGATCGAGTCGGTAGGAGGGAAAAAGGAAAGAGCAGTACACTTTTTCATCTTGTTTGAATTTTGTTTATATTACATCTGATTGCATTCTTTGCCGGCAGTACAGTTCACAGGAAAAAGGGTTGACCTTTTACACAATGCAATGCGGGAGAAGTTTGAATTTTGTTTATATTACATCTGATTGCATTCTTTGCCGGCAGTACAGTTCACAGGAAAAAGGGTTGACCTTTTACACAATGCAATGCGGGAGAAGTTTGTATGAGGTACCCACTTTATATTATACAAATAAGGTTACAAATAAGGTGCAGTGGTTTAAAAATCTATATTCAACCTTAATTATAAAATTGAAATTTTATAAACAATGCAAATCAAACAGATTTATATACACTTAAAAATCTTGAAATAGACATTCAAGATAACTTGTTACAAAATGTATTATGTTTAGTATTTAAAATTCTTTTTTTTCATTATATCCATACAACTGGAAGTCAAAATGATCAATTGGTAGATTTTCCAATATCGGAAGCCCTCTTTTCTACTCGATATTTTAGGTGTTCATTTTTATTTTATAATATAAGGTTGCCACCTTATATGAACTCATTCAAAATGTTGCTTATTTGTGGTGTCTTGCGGTAGAGAGAACAACTGGTTTGTGACTCTTGACTCCCAAACCACAGAGCATTGATCACAAACACCCTCTCATGCATTGCACCCAAGTTTCCCAAATTCGGGTGGAGCCTAGGGTGTCGAGGATGCAAACGCCGTTCCGAGTTGAAAGCCTGCTACTAAAAAACCCTAAAAGTAAAATCATCAAATTGACTGTCCAAAACCTACTTTCTAAACTCTGGATGAACATTGCTCAAGAAATCCATATACAAGGCCTCAAAAATTGTTATACAATTTTCTCATACACTGCTTTTCCATGCTAAGGTGAAAAACGAATTCAACTGCTCCATGAACTGCTGACTGCAATCCAACATTGGGAAAATTGATGTTTGGCTATCTAAATAAAAGAATAAAAAATAAACCGAAAAAAAGAACTGAATTATTTGTTAGAACGTTTTGATATTGTCTTTTTTCATTACTTGCAAGTTGAGTTATAATTGAGGCAATTGCACATCCTTAGCAACAGATTCAGTTACAATTTTATTGAAAATTATGATTACAAAATCCAACCGAAAAATCGGACGGAGAACTTAATTGAAATTATGGATCTTTTTGCAGGCACCCGCGAGTCCGATCCCTATTCCTATGTGGTAACACACTCAGGCTGCAAAACTCTTTGTATAATTGGAGCTTTTAACTTACTATTTCTGGCAAAGAAGCCCTTGAAAGATAAGCATTCGAAGAGCACTGCAATTTGAAAAGCTAGGGTTTCAATGCAAGTATTCGGGCTAATTGTTGCCTTCAAAATCCTGTGTGATTTATGTGTTCTTTGGAAATCTTAAGATACATGTAAAGTATCTCCAACATCAAGAGATTCTCTTTCCCAAATTTTTTTCTCTTTCCCACTTTTTATTCCAGCAAATTGTTGAAACTATAATCTATGCTCAAATGCATCTTCAATTTTGCAAGGACCATTGAGGATATGAAGCAACAAGAAATATATGGATTACTATGAGAAAGTACCACTAAAATGGAAAACCACATGAAAAAATCATTAAGTTGGTCAAATCAACCAATTCAGTATTAGCCTGGATACTTTATAATGTTCTCTTCATTAGAATATCTCCTCAAAATTTTATTAAAATATCTCCTCTCAGAAGTTTGAAGCTACCTGCGTTAACTACCCCAAATCGTCCGAGAAATCGATTCTCACGTTTTCTCTCCCGTCCGAGAAATCGATTCTCACGTTTTCTCTCCCTTCTCTAAAATTCCATTTTTGAGGCTTTCTAGTCTCTCATCAGGTCAAATTCCTTGCGATGACCTCCGCAACGTCCATCATCCCTATCCCTGCTCCATCTGTTGCCAATCTCGCCGAATAGTACAAGACCTCCCTCATTGGCGTTTTCCACCCTCAATGAAACGATTGTAATGACATAGAGAGATGGGCGAAGGAAGTCTAGAAGGTACTAGGTATCAAGTGCCGACCACTCTCTAATAGGTTTTTTCTGTTTTCTTTCCCCTCAGCTACATCTGCAAACTTTGCTCTGAATAGCTCTACCGCGTTTTCGTTCAAGGGTGCCTCTCTTCTTCTCTCCAAATGGTCTGTTGACATCGGCGCTTTCTGTTCTTAGAAATTTTGGGTCACGGCCTCAGACATCCCTCTTCACTCATGGTGTCTGGACACCTTCAAATCCATTAGCAATGCCTACGGCTCCTTCGTCGTTGTTCACTAGAAATCCATGGAAAGTTTACCACTGGGATCCCTACGTCTACTTGTAGATGCCCTAGACCCTCAGAGTATCTCTACTATCCTCTAGCTTGAGGTGGTCGGATCGTCGGAAACTTTTATAGGATTTTCTTATCCTGGTCAGTGGCTTCTCCTCCATCGACTCACTTTGTCTCCTAGCATGCTCATGGATCGGAAGTATCCTCGTTTAACCGCTCTCCTTCCTTCTCCCCTGAGAAATAGAACCAGTGGACCCTTGTATCACGGAACAGACAGCCCCGCAAATTCCATAAGTTTCAACCACCCTATAGAGGCCACCATCGTAATCATGAACCTCCCTTCCATCCACCCATTGCCTCTCTGTCTCACCCTTCTCCCCATCAGCTTTCTGACCGTCGTCATCAGCTACCACCACCTCCAACACTTCCTACCCCACCACCACACCCACCCCCACCTCTGCCTTTGTCTCCTCCTCCGCCGACCCTGGCTCCCCAGGCCCTGCTCGCAGGTGCCTTTGGAATGGCGTCTGTGATCGTTGACTGTACTGCCACGTGCCTCATGCAGATGGAAGCGGGTCGGGTACGTCCCACCAAACTGCCCCATGTCAGCTTTCTAGAACTGACACGACCCGATTGCCGCTGCCTTTCGCCCTACCCACATTGTCCACCATATTGCCTTGAGACGCGTCCTCATCTTCACGTGCTTCATAGCCCCCCATACCCTCACCGTCGATGCAGGCCATCTGTACAACATACCCACCCAAGATCTCCACACATGTACCCCCTGCTTCCCATCTCGAGAAGGTTTTGCCTCTTACCTCCCATCACCCTACATTCATTCGATTTCGCTCCCTGCCGCAATCCCTTCATCTTCATCTCCCCGAGGGGCTATCCCCATCCTACATCTCCACCGTCACCACCGCCATCAACACATACCATCCCGTCAGCTCTGCATCATCATCATTCCCCCCTGCAACCTCGTCGTGCATGTCCGCTCCTCTTCCTTTGGTTTCACCGTTGGATCAACGTGATGCCTCAACTCCCGCCTCCGATATATTACCTCCTCTCATTGACCTTCACTCTGACTGGGAAGCATACCAGGGGACCCTTCAAACATCCCGACAGGAGTCTATTACAACCAGAGTTCCGGCAGCAAAAATCTCTTCGGAAATTATGGACCACAGCAACTTGGTTATTACGCCTGTGCTTATAGGCATCCCGACTGACCCCCTCAGTGGTGCGCCCTCTCTCTACCCCCATTCCAAACTACCTCGCCCAGTGTACTCCCCCTTACTTTTCCCTCTCTACCCCAACCCTATCCATACCCCTTTGCTACTCTTCTTCTCCCTTCTTTTTCAATTTCATACCTTCCAACCTACCCTAACGAAACACCCTTGCCCATAGTTTTCCCCTCTCTGCCACCCCCACCTGCTTTCTTGACTGTTCGTGGTTCCACCTCTTCACCGTCACCCCTCGCTTCCCCTCCGGTCACTCTATCATCTCCTGCTCCCCCTGTTTGCCTTATTTCACAACCGCCAGATAGCACTAAGGAATCTTTGGTCCTTGACATTTTCACCCAATCTGTCTTCCACATCTCAAGGAACCACTCCAGAGCAAGGCCCTAAGTTTTCACTGGCATCACCGTCCACCCCGCTTGCCGGGGATCCTTGTGGCTTCTCTTTGGGAATTTTTCGATCGACTGCGGCATATGGGCTACCTTTCCTGGTCTTGCTGGCATTCCCCTCTCCAATAGTCTCTTCTTCTTCTTACCTCTCAGACACCTCGATCTCGGTCTACACAATGGGGGACCCCTTCTCCCCTCAGTGGACTCGGATTACGTCAATGGCATCGACTAGGGGCAAGGCCAAATTCAGGACGTCATGAAGGCTATGGGGTTCCCACACTCAGGACTCGACGGACTTTTCTAGGATTTCTTTAAGGCAGATTTGCACCCTCGTGTTGGGGTAAGCAAAAAGGGATCTCGTAGTTGGTCAATCTGGCTTCTTCGGCTAATTACGTCGGACCTTCCTCCTCTCTTCTCCCTCCCTCCCCCATTCTTCATCACCAATCGTGGAATGGGATTCTGGTGAGACGTTCCCTCAGGAACTCTCCTCTCTCTTGTGCCCCCCAATGTTAATCCTTTCTTGGAACCTCAGGGGGCTAGGTCAGGCCCAAAAGAAACAGGCAGTCAAAGACCTCTACTCTCGACATTAACCTCTATTTTGGCTCTCACTAAAACAAAATTACCCATTCCTACCCTTACACAAGTACGTCAAGTTTGGGGACACAGGCCCTGTCAATTGGCAGCACTAACTGCGACGGGAGCTTCGGGGGGAATTTGGGTAATTTAGGACCCCACGACCCATTCTCTGGATTCCACCCATTTGGCCAGATTCTCTATCTCTATCCTCACGACTAGGATTCCGGATGGACTTCACTAGAAATTCTTCGCGGTCTACCGGCCTAATGCAGATGCAGATAGACCCGCCTTGTGGGAAGAGTTGAACCTAGTAGCCCAGCTCCCTCACCA